CCGGCACCGGGCTGCGGGCACTGCCCCGAGCTGCGGGCACTGCCCCGGGCTGCGGGCTGAGCCCGCCGCGCCTCTGGGCAGGACCCCGGGCACGACCCCCGGGACCGCCCCGAGCAGCCCCCGCGGCCGGGGGGGCGCAGGGACCCTCCTCCTTGAGCCCCCCACCCCTGACCCCATCTCTGACCCCCCCTTGGCCCCCGCCGCCCACCCCGACCCCCCGCTGGGGACAGGGCTGGGGACAGGGACACCCCGGGACGGCCACTGCCAGCCAGGGGGGCGCGGAGCTCGGGGGGAGCAGGGAGGGGAGCCCACCCCAGCCGGGGCTGCCTGGCGACTCTGGTGGCCGGGGGGAGGTGACACCCCCTGCCCTCGGGGGTGCGTGGGGAGGGGGTGACAGCAGAGGGGTGGCAGCACAGGGGGTGACAGCACAGGGGGGACAGCACAGGGGACCAGCTGCCCCAGGGGGAACTGGGGCTCTCCTGCTGCACCCCGAGGGGGAGCAGGCGGTCCCGGGGCTGCTGTGGCAGTGGGCCCCACCCCGAGCTGTGCTGCTGCTGTGAGGGCCCCCCAAGGGCCGGGTCCCCCAGTGGGGGAGTCCCCATCAGGGTCCCCATGAGGGTCCCTGGGCAGGGGGGCTGTGGGGGACCCCCGGGGGTGGCAGTTCCAGGAGCCGTGGCCTGTCCCCACCCTCATCCCGGGGTCTGCAGGGAGGGTGGGACCCCCGCCCGGGACCCCCCCCAGCGCGGGGACAGCACGGGCTCCCAGGGCACTGGACATCGGCCCGGACACCCCCCGTGCCCGGGGGACCCCAGGAGGGGCCGGCCTGGGACCCCCCCAGAGCGGGGCACGGGCACCTGGCACGGGGAGCCGGTGCCAGGGACAGGGGGGCATTGTGGGAGCCAGAGTGGGACAGGTGTGAGGGGTGGGACAGGTGTGAGGGGACAGGTGTGAGGATTGGGACAGGTGTGAGGGGACAGGTGTGAGGATTGGGACAGGTGTGAGGGGACAGGTGTGAGGATTGGGACAGGTGTGAGGGGACAGGTGTGAGGATTGGGACAGGTGTGAGGGGACAGGTGTGAGGATTGGGACAGGTGTGAGGGGACAGGTGTGAGGATTGGGACAGGTGTGAGGGGACAGGTGTGAGGATTGGGACAGGTGTGAGGGGACAGGTGTGAGGATTGGGACAGGTGTGAGGGGACAGGTGTGAGGATTGGGACAGGTGTGAGGGGACAGGTGTGAGGATTGGGACAGGTGTGAGGGGACAGGTGTGAGGATTGGGACAGGTGTGAGGGGACAGGTGTGAGGATTGGGACAGGTGTGAGGGGACAGGTGTGAGGATTGGGACAGGTGTGAGGGGACAGGTGTGAGGATTGGGACAGGTGTGAGGGGACAGGTGTGAGGATTGGGACAGGTGTGAGGGGACAGGTGTGAGGATTGGGACAGGTGTGAGGGGACAGGTGTGAGGATTGGGACAGGTGTGAGGGGACAGGTGTGAGGATTGGGACAGGTGTGAGGGGACAGGTGTGAGGATTGGGACAGGTGTGAGGGGACAGGTGTGAGGATTGGGACAGGTGTGAGGGGACAGGTGTGAGGATTGGGACAGGTGTGAGGGGACAGGTGTGAGGATTGGGACAGGTGTGAGGGGACAGGTGTGAGGATTGGGACAGGTGTGAGGGGACAGGTGTGAGGATTGGGACAGGTGTGAGGGGACAGGTGTGAGGATTGGGACAGGTGTGAGGGGACAGGTGTGAGGATTGGGACAGGTGTGAGGGGACAGGTGTGAGGATTGGGACAGGTGTGAGGGGACAGGTGTGAGGATTGGGACAGGTGTGAGGGGACAGGTGTGAGGATTGGGACAGGTGTGAGGGGACAGGTGTGAGGATTGGGACAGGTGTGAGGGGACAGGTGTGAGGATTGGGACAGGTGTGAGGGGACAGGTGTGAGGATTGGGACAGGTGTGAGGGGACAGGTGTGAGGATTGGGACAGGTGTGAGGGGACAGGTGTGAGGATTGGGACAGGTGTGAGGGGACAGGTGTGAGGATTGGGACAGGTGTGAGGGGACAGGTGTGAGGATTGGGACAGGTGTGAGGGGACAGGTGTGAGGATTGGGACAGGTGTGAGGGGACAGGTGTGAGGATTGGGACAGGTGTGAGGGGACAGGTGTGAGGATTGGGACAGGTGTGAGGGGACAGGTGTGAGGATTGGGACAGGTGTGAGGGGACAGGTGTGAGGATTGGGACAGGTGTGAGGGGACAGGTGTGAGGATTGGGACAGGTGTGAGGGGACAGGTGTGAGGATTGGGACAGGTGTGAGGGGACAGGTGTGAGGATTGGGACAGGTGTGAGGGGACAGGTGTGAGGATTGGGACAGGTGTGAGGGGACAGGTGTGAGGATTGGGACAGGTGTGAGGGGACAGGTGTGAGGATTGGGACAGGTGTGAGGGGACAGGTGTGAGGATTGGGACAGGTGTGAGGGGACAGGTGTGAGGATTGGGACAGGTGTGAGGGGACAGGTGTGAGGATTGGGACAGGTGTGAGGGGACAGGTGTGAGGATTGGGACAGGTGTGAGGGGACAGGTGTGAGGATTGGGACAGGTGTGAGGGGACAGGTGTGAGGATTGGGACAGGTGTGAGGGGACAGGTGTGAGGATTGGGACAGGTGTGAGGGGACAGGTGTGAGGATTGGGACAGGTGTGAGGGGACAGGTGTGAGGATTGGGACAGGTGTGAGGGGGACAGGTGTGAGGGGACAGGTGTCATGGGGACAGGTGTGAGCTCCCGGTGCCCCCCCCGGTGGCCTCTGGGCACGCTGGTGGCCCAGGCCCAGCCGTGCCACCGGAGCACGTGGCCCTGGAGCTGTCACAGCTCTCGGAGAGTGGAAATGCCCTCAGCCCCACTGGGAAGGAGGAACCCCTGCAGGGACCCCAAAATGTCACCCAGAGAGCCGGGGAGGGTGACACATCGGGGTGGGTGACACGTCAGGGTGGGTGACACGTCGGGGTGGGTGACATGTTGGGGTGTGGGACACGTGGGGTGTGTGACATGTTGGTGTCACGTGTCAGGGTGTGTCCCCTCTCACGGTGTGTGTCCCCTGTCCCACGCCCCCTGTCAGCGCGCGCGCGGCGGCGCCAGGGCCCGGTGCGTAGCGCGGCGCGCGGGGGGGCGGCGGACGAGACCACCGCGGCGGCGAAAGGGGGGGGTGCGGGGCTGTCCCGACACAGACAGAGCGGGGTTTTCCGGGCAGCACCGCTGCCAGGAGGCGGCGGAGGGACGGAGCGGGCCGGGTAGACGCTAGCGGGGGCGGCGGGAAGAGGGGTTATCCCGGCAGAGCGGAGAGGGACCGGCGGGGTTACCCCGGGAAGAGACCACTGAGGGCGGGGGGGACTGGGGCTGTCCCGGGAGAGACCACTGCGGCGGCAGAGGGTTCCGGTAGCCGGTGCGCGGCCGCAGCTCGCGGCGGAGCCGGGAATAGCCGGGATAGCGGGATAACCGGGACACCCCGCGGGCCCCCAGCCGGTGCCGATGCCGAGGAGCAGCTGACGGCGGCGGGGACGCGGAAATGGAGCCGCGGCCGGGCCGGGCCGTGCGGGCGCTGTGCGGCCTCTTCCTCCTCCTCCTCCTCCTCGTCCTGCAGCATCCCGGCCGCGCCGAGCGCGCCCCCGGCTCCCACCTGGACGAGTCGGCCATCGCAGGTGAGCCCCCCGCCCGGGCCGCCCTGCCCGCCCCGCGGGGCCCGGGCTCGGCCGGGCCAGCCCCCCCCGCGCTCCGCTTTGGGGCCATTCCTCCGCCTTTCGGGCAAGAGCTGCCGCGACCCCCGGCTCGGGACCCCGCGGGGACCGGAGTAACGCCCCGTTTGTTCCTGCGGCGGGCCGCGGCTGTTTGGGTCAAAAGTTTTACATTTCGGCTCGCTTGGAGTGTTGCGCTCTCCTCCGCTAAGCGGCATGGGCTGGGAGCGCTTGGCGGGATTTAGATTATCCCTGTTATTTACTTGTTAACGGCGGCGTGGCCGGGAGCTGCGGGCGGCGGCGGCCGCTCCGAACGAGCTGTTTGCCGGCTGTGGAGCCCTGGCGCTCGGCTCGCCCCGCTCCCGTCCAGCCCAAAGCGGCCCGAGCCCGGCGGGTTTGCCCCGAGCCCGGCGGGTTTGCCCCGAGCCCGGCTCCGCGGGCTCTGTGTCCTTGTGGCGGTGCCCGAGGTCAGCCGGAGCTGGCCGTGTGAGCCCCGGGAGTGCCGAGCCCCGCTGCCGGGAGCCGCGGGCTGCGGCCCGGCCGGGCACACCGCTCCGGCGGGGCGGCTCGGGGCGGTGTTTGCATTCCGGGGTTCGGTGGAAGGCGTCCTGGAAGGGCTCGGCTCCGAGCGTGGGAGCGGGGCAAGGAGCCGGCCCCGGAGCTGCGGGGCAGCTCGGGGTGGGAGCCCGGGCAGCTCGGCCGGGGATGGGCTCTGTCACTCGCGGCACCGGGGCTCTTCATCCCCCTCCGGCCGTGCTCCTGAGCCCGCGGGCCCGTTCCCATCCAGCCTGCTCCACTAAGGAAACTGGATCTCCGCAGTCCTTCTGAAGCGAGCTTTGTGCCTCCAAGGAATTTCCAGCGCGGTTATTTTTGGAGGCCCTGCAGAAGTGTGGCAGCCTGGGTGATTCAGCTGCTGGCTGTGCTCTTGGCGAGCGGAGGCAGCCCCGGCACGGCACGGCACGGCACGGGCGGGAGCAGCCCCAGCGCTGGGCTCCAAAATCCGCCTGGAACGTGCTTGGGCTCCCGGACCTGCGGGCTGGAGCCGCAGAGGTGCAGGATTGTGGCCAGGGAGGGTTGGTGTGCCCTGCTCCGTGTCTGTCCCGGGACAGCCGGGAGGCTCCGTGCCCTCTGTGCCGCAGCCCCCGTGTCCCCGAGGTCTCTTGGCCCTTTGGTTGGCAGCTCCCTGAGCTGTCGCTCCCGGCTCCCGGCAGGGAATGTCCTCAGCCGGCACCGGACACGCTTTTCCCCATGTTTTCCCTGGAAGCAGAAGGTGCTGGCTGCTCGGTGGGAGGCAGAGGTGAGTGTTGGACGTGTTCGAAAGTGAAAGTGCTCGGAGGTGCTTTTGAAGAATTTTTTAAAATTTTTAAAATTTTTTAATTAGGATGGCAGGATTTTAAGGGTACGATGTCAGCACCCGGGAAGTTTCTCAGGCAATGCAGGGAAGTGTTTGCAGAGAGCAGGAGCCTGAGCTGCAGCGCTTCTTGGGCTGCTGAGGCTCCTCTGCACGCTCAGGGGATGCATCAGCAGGTTTTACCGAAGATTAGGGAATTATCCCGATTCCTGGGAGATATTTTTGAGCAAGAGTTTGAAACGGGTGGGTTTATCCATGCAGGAAAATCAGAGTAGGTGACTGAACCCCGGGGAAAACCAGATTTTCTCCTGGCTTTGACTCCCTCAGAGGCGAATTGAGGCCTTAATCTTTGAGCTGTAATCTTTTCCTGCCGGGATCGCTCTGGAGTTTGGATCCACCCGGCAGCACGGGAGCCAGGTGAGGAGGAGTGGAGCCCAGGCCGGGCAGAAGGAGCCCCTGGCCCTGCCCGAGGCCAGGGTCGGGCTCCTGCCGCTGTCACAGGATGTGTGACGGCCCCACGGCATTGTTTGCACCCGCCCTGGTTATTTTTAGCCCGAATTTGTCAGGCTGCAGCCTGGCCCGGGACCTTTTCACACCCCTAAAAGGGGGCAAACGAGGCTCCTCAGGGACAAACGGGACTTCCAGGATTTTTTTCCCCTCTTTCTACTAATTTGCTGTACTCTGGCTGTGGCCAGTGTTTTACACGAGTTTTATGTGTGCCATCAAAAATGTGACCCATTGTTTGGGTCAAATGTCTTAAATTTCATCTCATTTAAAATACAAGTCTTGCTCAGCTGGCTCTTCCCCCTTAAATCACATCACCTGCAAGAAGTGTGTGGATTTGGGGCTATTTTTTGTTTTAATTGCTTGCCCTGTGTGCAGCCCAGCACAGGTGGGCACTTCCAGGTGTGTTTGTAGGAGATCCAAGGGAGAGGCAGGGGTTTGGATGGCTGGGGCTCATCCCTGGTTCCCTCCATGGTGACGGCTTCCCCCTGCAGATCCAGGGGCATCCAGCTCCCCCTGTCCATCTCCCGGCAATAATGTGGAAGTGGTGCGAGTCTGCATTGCCCTGAGCCTTATTCCATTGTGCAGGGAATTCCTTCCTGAGCTCTGGCATCCACAGGGATCTGGGCCTCCTGGGGGTGCCTGTTCTGGCACCCCTGAGGCAGGTCAGGGATTGTGAGGTGGATTTTCCCTCTTTCCTGAAGCAGCTCAGAGGTGGGCTCTGAATTGTTGAGTGGAGGCATTTTTGGGTGGTGCCTCAGAGGGTGGCAAGGCTCTGGTGCAGGGCTGGCACAGGTTTGGTGGCTTTTCCTCTTTCACAGCAGCTCCTCTTTTCTCTTCCTTTCTCCTGCCCTGTCTCTTGCTTCCCTGTCCTGATTCCTTCATCACAACCCTTCTTGAGTCATCTTTGCTTTTATCTCAGTGGTTTAAAAAACAAGTTAAAACCACATCCTGGTAGTGTTGGTGCCCAGAGCTGGAGGGCTGTGCCCAGGGCTGTTCCTGTGTTTGCCTGGAACACCTAGAGCTGCCCTTAAACCCAGGGAGCATCCTGTGGGACAAAGTCAGGGTGAGGAAGGGGGGCTGCAGCCACAGCCTGGTGACTGTCATTGATTGCAGAGGGGGAGAAGGTGAATTTCTGGGTGAGGAGGCTGTGCCCAAGCCCTGTCTGTCCTTACCATCCCAAGGCCCAGGGCTTCACTGGAAGTGAAGCCTTCGCTGCAAAACCTCTGCCTTGGGAAGTTTTGGCTTTGGGCTTGAAACCAGCAGTGAGGGATTTTGTCCTGTGAGCAGCTCGTGGCCTCAGTGGAGCCGTGGGGAGCTCAGTGATGGCTCGTCCTGGCTCTCTGTCCTTCCACAGACTGGGGCAGTTCATGGGACACAGTGACCCGCTGTGCCCTCCTTGCTTTGATAGAATGCCTTGTAAAGGAGATTTTGCTGTTAGATCAATTCCTTCAGGGGGTTCACTGAGTAGAAGTTGCACCTGTGAGCAGCAGTTTTGGGTTGGGTGAGGGAGACGAAGCAGTTGTGGGAATACTGGGAGAGCTCTGCCAGGGAAAAGTCCATGTTCTTCCCAGCTCAGTTGGAAGCACAGCCTCGGCTTCCTTCGGGAATGAAACTCATCTCGAGGAATTGCCATTCTGAGAGCTGGAAAAATTGTGTTTTGGCAGCAAAGTGGCCTCATGTGGAGGAGGAGCAGGGCCGACTGGGCAGCGCTGGGGCTGCTGGGGAGCTCCTGGCTCCCTCCAGCTCATTCCCTTCCCTGCTTGGCCCAGAAACTTGGAGTGATGCTCAGCTGGATCAGAGAGAGGATCTTAATTTAATTTCTTGTAGGATTTATTTATTTGCTGCCTTGGAAAGCAGCTGTCTCCGTGTCTGCTGTGCCCCCAGGGTGGTCCCTTCCCGCAGGAGCGTTCAGAGGGAGCTGCAGCTCCTGCTCCAAACTGGGCTTTGGGTTGGCCTTTCCCACCGTGGGGCAGGGGTGCACACATCCACGTGGAACTCCAAGGCAGCAATCCTTCTGTCCTTTCCATCCTTTGCTCTCAGGAGGGCACGGAGCAGAAAATGTGTGGGCAAAGAGCCTCCTGACATCCCTGTGGTGCAGCTGCAGGGGCTGGGATGCTCTGGTGGTCCTGGAGTGGAGCCTTATCCCAAGAGGAGTGAGAAGGAAGAGCACTTTGTGGCCTGCTCAGTTGGTGTTTGGCTCGTGGGCTGCCTGGATGTGTTGGTACACCACAATTCCCTGTGGGAGCTCTCTCCTCCCCTGGGCAGGGGCTGGAGGGACGGGTGAGTGTCTGGGGACAGCCCTGGGGAGCTGAGGTACCCTCCAGGGACGTGTGGTGCATGACCTGCCTGGCATTTGGGGAGGGAGGGGAGCTAAAAGGCCATCCTGGTATCTAGGGGCTGCCCAGGGAGCTTTGCAGTGCCCATCCCTGCAGGTGTCCCCTGGGGGTGGCACTGAGTGCTCTGGGACAAGGTGGCCATGGGGCACAGCTGGCACTGCCTGGGCTGGGAGGGCTCTGCCAGCCCCGGGGATTTGGGGATTCTGGGATTTATTAGTAAAACATCCCTTTTCTGTGAGCTGGTGGTTGAAAGCAGCACTTCCCTGGGGTTATCCCTGTCCTGCTGCTTGTCCCACTTGGAGGCTGTGCTGCTGGAGAGGCGCTGGCAGTGCCTCCTGTCCCTGGTGCTTCCAAGGAAGCCCGGGGGCAGTGCCAGCCCTGGCCACCCTTCGGGGCTGGACTGTGCCCAGCCTGGCATTCTGCTCCCCACAGCCCTAATTGCACAAACTTATTAGTGTTAAAAAAAGCTGTTTCCTCCATTAATTAGCTTTGCTTTAAATCCAGAGAGGGAGAAATAAACTGCTGGCAGGCGGGAGAGTTTGGATTGCCTCTGGAAAGGCCCTTTGGGAGCAGGGTGGTTCCTGTTCTGGCTGCCCCTGCTGTGGGTAAGGAGAGGGGCAGGAACGTGCTGGAAAAAGGAGCTGGGACCTTCACTGCTGTTGGGTGAGGGTCTGGGGATCCCCCTGCCCCCAGCTGGAGAAGGAGCTTCCATCAGCCCTCCTTGTGTCAGTCAGGTCCTACTGGGGAGAAATCCTTCCCTGGCAGGGTGGGCA